CCACGCCGTGGGCGAGCCTGGGGGTGTGGGGGCTGCTTGCAGGCTGGGGTCTCGGGGGCCCTGGGAAAGGACGCCCTCCCGGGGACCCAGGCCTGCGGATGTCCGGGCGGGGACTTGTTCACAGGAGGAAGGCGGCGGCCCCAGCCAGAGGCGGCAGGGATGGCGAGGCTGGGGCTGGGGCTGGGGCTGGGGCTGGGCTGGGCGGGCGGAGAAGGGTTAGGGCCCGGCTGGCGCGGGCTCTCCAGGAAGAGGCGCCGCGACTTTCTCCGCTTTTTGAAAAGGGGAAGGGAAGGCAGGCAAAGTCCGAAAGCAAAAGCAGCCTTGCCCTGGGCTGAATGGACCGCGCGCGGGTCTTCTACACCGGGTGTCCGCGACCCCTTCTCCAGCCGCTCCTCTTTAAAAGGGAAGCGGGAAGGCCTCCTCGCCCCTGCCCCTCCCCTCTCTCTCCCCCCGTCTGGAATTTCCAGCCCCGGACTCGCTCCTCTGATTCCTTCGTCTCCCCTGCTGCTTTTTTCCCTCCCCTTTCCTCTCCCTAACACTCCCATCCCCAAGTCTAAGCTGCACTTTCTGGAAGACATTAGCCACATTTTAAGAACCCTTTAAGAGGATGGAGGGAGAACAAGACTAAATTTAAATTCTAAAAGCTGGCAAAATGTATGCTTTTCAAATGCCTTTGGTTCATGCATTTATTCTAATGACAACATCACCACTACTAGCCCCACACACAAAAATCAACGGAGGTGTAACCAATACATATATGGCTTCAACACAAACCCCTAAACTTCAACAAATAACACTTGTTGGTCCCCCTTTTCACTCAGCTAAACAGATCTGGAATTTTTTGTAACGTTTCAAAATTGTATACTCCCTAGCCTGCCTTTGTCAACTAGCTATTACACATTCAAGTCTAGAATAAATAAATTCAAAAAAAAAAAAAAAAAGCCTTAAAAGTACCCAAACACATAAAATAGATTCAAATGACATATATTAAGGTAATTTTAAAAGATTAGAGGTTCAGAATCAAAATTCTTCCAATGGCTAATGTCATGTATTTCATCTCTAAAACATAATTATGAGAACGTTTTGCTCTTTTTCCCCCCAAAGCTGTGCCATTGAAACTTTACATTTGGAAGAGTTCACTATACTTTGAATAAATTAGTGATGGGAATTACAATTCTTCCCCTCTACTCCAAAGTTCTCCATCTGGGAAACCACTGGAGTAAAATTTCATCTTTCTCCTTTGAATGAGAAAATAAAGGGTTCTGGAAACGTAGAACTCTTTCAAAGGATAGTCAAATACCACAGTCCCTAGGAAAGTCATCTTGAAATACTGAGAACTTAAATAACAAGGATTTCTCTAGCAGTGAAGAAAATTTAATTTTTATGAATCTGTTAAGTGTACTTTCTAGTTGGAAATAAAAATGGGGAGGGTAAATCGATTTCCACCTTTCCTCCAAATAATGCAGAAAAGTTTTTTAAATCAACCATTTTAAAATTTATTTAAAGCCCCCCCAAAACTTAATATTCATAAGAAAACCTCTTTACTGAAAGTGTCATAAATGTTTCTACTTTTAAACATCCTTGCTGAATACCATCTGTGGGAAGATACATTGACAATCACAACCACTAAAGCAAAAGTGCCTGAAAATCCTCCCCCTCTAGTACTTTTTACCCCTTTTTTGCTTTTTAAAAAGACACTGTTTCTTACCCCCTTTATAATTCATTTTCAGCCCCTAAGAACAGTTTTCTCTAAAGGCATACCCATTTCTGAAGGCAAAATTTTTTTGCCTGTTTTGAAAACATTTAGTGACCCAATTATTTCTTCAGAAGCTTCACAGATCACTTCAGATTCAAAATAATATTCTGCCATTTATAAGACATCCTTTTGCAGAGATTTTTGAAGTTGCTGACTTTAGAAAATTAAACTGTAAAATTAGAATTAAATTTGAACACTTTCTCTTCTAAGAGTTCTCACACTTACAAGGCTGAGACCAATCCCTATATGTGTGTTTTTTAAATAGTTGGAAATTTAAGGGCAAGTGTCTCATTTTAAGACAATTTAAAGAACCACCCTTAACCTGCCTAAGGAAATCAAGTCTTAAACTAAAACACAATTCACTGAGAAAAATGCAGTATCTCTCTTTTTTTTTTAATAGCAACGCCTTTTATTTTGATGACACCAGTTGACAGTAGGTAAAAGCTATCTTTAGGCCACATTCCCCTAGAAAAAGGCATACACAGTGGCAAATGAAACAAAGTTTAATTCCCTTAAAAAGCCAGCCATTTCCCAAAATAAACAAGACTCACTATGATGTACCCCTTTACCTTAACTACTCTTATGTCTCTAAATATAACACATATACAAACCCTCTCCCGCAGCTGTTTTTAAAATGCTTTTGGTTTTATTCCTTGGTCCTAATATCTGAGGGTGAATATATACAAATTCTCAACAAAAAGTCGAAACTGTTGACCAAAATTCCAACACTAAGAGGGTGTTTCAAACATTCAGCTTTTCAGTTCCAATGTCCATAATCTTCAGGAAATCTACTGTATCTCAGAGAAATTGGTCCCCCATTTAAAAATTTCAACTTAATGCTTTCAGTTTAAATGTATCATGTTCAGTCTCTGGGGTTCTTAAAAAGATACAAATTATATTTATCAGATAAAATTAGAATAAAATATATTAATACTTCAAAATCAGGGTTGTTCAGAGGTTAACTGCTATAATATCATCTTGTTTGACTTCCCTCTCTAAAAAAACAACAAAAACCAGGACCATTTAGTTTGCTAGGTTTTTATGAAAACCTTAGAAATGTTTAAAGTCATAATTCATTTGGAACTGGGTACATCAAGAAGAATTCTCTTCTATTTTAAACAGCAAAAACACTAGAGTATACATACACATGTATATGCAGTTGTTCATTTTGCTTAAAATATGAGTCAGTTAATGAAGTAGCTCCTGTTACATACATCCATGAGTGAAAAAGCCAGTGAACAAACCAACTGAAAAAACACTTTTCAGACAGACTAAAACACATACCACCACACGCTTCCCCAAAGAACAGAAAATGATAGAGCACACTGACTTCATGAAAACAAACTTTCCTTTTTTAAATCCTAAAACTTCAAAAATGGATTCATTCTAGAAAAATGAAGTGCCTTTTCACCACCACCCACAAAATGAAATAATACACAACTGACTCAATGTTTGTGCTCACAAATTATTTCAGGAAGACAACACACAAAAGATCCAATTTAATATGGGTGTGGAAGGCAGATCTCACACACCCCACCCCTTCCCAACTCGAAAGAGCCCTCAGTAATGCATTTTGGAGGGAACCAGGAGCCTAAAAATGGCTTGAAAGCAAGCAGATGGCTTAGGGAAAAAGATCCATAAGTACAGAGCACCATGAAAATTCAAATATAAATGTTTTGGGTTCCGTTTCATCACATTTTGCTATTTCTCTTGCTTTTCACTGCACTCCCTTTAAAACTTAAGCCATGCTGAAGAGGAGAAGAAAAAATTCCCACATATTTTGGCATTCTAGTTATTCTGGAGATTTTTCATCAAACATTCAGCTTCCCGTTCAAATGTCCACAATCTTCTCACTAAATCTACCTGGTGTCAGTGTATTCCCATCCCCCAGAGATGTTTCAAAATGATAAGGCTTTCCTTTCTGTCCTCCCCATTTGATGACCTCTTTATCCTAACTCGCACGGCCGTTCCAACAACAGAGTATTTCCAGCCCCGGAGGTTAAATCACAAACTCTGTAAACATAGTTACAAGGCATATTGATCCTCTACAGATACAATGGTGCCAAGTTATTTCAAAATCTCAAGCTAAATCACTGAACAGACTGTTCCTGGTGTTAAAACTTTCTAGATCCTCTTAACCTCCTCCAAAGGAGCATACCCACCCACCGCTACCTTCCCACCCAGGAAAGGCCAGGGACGACTCTGAAATGCAGCCAGTTTCCAGCTGCAATGAGGGGAGAGGAGCAGTGAAAGAATCCGAGGTTTGCTGGGGGCTCCGCCGTGACAGGAGTGCACTGTCAACATGTTTCAAGTCAGATTTCAGAAAGCAGGGAGACTGCCCTTATACCTCCCAGCCAGAGTTCAATGAAAAATCTGAAATCCACCATGAATTCGATTTGGGAGTAACACACAGAACTAACCCACTTGGCTGAAGTGAGGACAGAATGGTATTGGGACACACACACACACACACACACACACACTCCATTCATCCAGGGAGTTCTAGACCCTCCAAAGCGCCCCAGCTCACAGCCTGAACACAAAGCTCTCACCCCAGATGGTCCCCTTGTAACAATGGGCTGAAGGGGGGCTGGGGGGGTGGGGGTCCGCGCTTGGAAAGGATTGTTCAGCCAAAAGTATATTCTTTGCAAAATCCACGAGATGGGAGAACGTGCGATGTGAGGGACTAGGAGAGGAGGTCTGTGAAAAAATCTGATGTCCTTGCCTGTTGCAGAAATATAAATATAGCACAAGCCTAAAGAAAATTATTGGGGGGGGGGGGCGCGGAACTCCTTCCACTCCTCCCCTAGGGAAATGAAGGGGACGTGTGCCCCCCACCCCAAGCCGCTTAGGAATTAAGGTGGGGGGGGGGGGGGTTGAGGCCTGCTAGGAAGCTGCAGAAATGCCTGAGTCGAAACTCTTCAAGGTTTTTAGCTTCCCCACAAAAAATGGCCTCACACACCTTGAACAAACTCAAGGTTTCTCCCCGATCGATTTTCCCCCCTTTAACTTCTCCAAGAAACATCCCCCGGCCCACCCTAGCCCCAGCGTATTTTTTTTACAAGCTGTAAACCACCCATTACAAGATCTTCGTCAATCTTCCCTCCCTGCCCCCAACATCCGGAGTCGGGGGTGGAAAGGCCAGTAATGGGTTTCTTCCACTGCAGACACCATGGACCCCCCTGAACACAGCTTCTCAGAGCCCTTGGGCTGCCCCCCTCCCCAGAGAAGAGCGCTTTCCTACCTTTGTTTTTTGGGGACCGAGTGTTCAATCTCTAGGCGTTTTCCTTGCAGTTCTACTTTCCCTAAAGATTAAAAAAATGAAAAATATATATGAGAGCTTGAACAGGGGTGGGGGGCGGGGGAGGAAGGAGAAAGACATGGGGGGACGCAGGAGTTCCTGGGATCGGAGACCTTCCTGGGAATCCAGGCAGTGGGTTCCGAGCCGGGCGCGAACGGTGGCCCGGAGAACGGTGGCGTCTGTAAATTTCACGATGGCTTTCTGAATTTGTGTTTTGTTCTGTTATCTCCCCGCGGCTAGTGGAGTCGTGGGGCGCTCTGGGAGCCCGGTTGGGGAGAGCGAGGGCGTCTGTGCGAGCGGGCGGGCTGCCCACAAGGCTTCCAGACGTGGGAAGAAGGGGCCGAGCAAGGACGCCCGTTTCTCCCAAAGTGTGTTTTGGGGAGGGGGGGTGCAGAATGAAACTTTATTTTCCCGTCGAGTCCAGGAGGAGGGCTTCAGGCGGCGGAACGGTCACCTGTCGAGCCGGTGGGGGCGGGGGGGTAGGGGGAGGCCCGGGGGAGCGCAGCGGGCCCGCAGGGAGGGTCCCTGGCGGCGGTGGCGCGCGTCTCCCGGCCCAGCCTCGCGTCTCGGGAAGCAGCATGGCGACCCGCCGCCGCCGCGCCACCGCTCACGCCCCGCGTTCAAATCAAAATGGCTCAAGCCCCAAGGCCCCGGGCGGGAGGCAGGATCCCGGTTCTCGGGTCCCGCTCGAAGGCTACAGTCCCCGAGGAAACCCCGGAGATCGAGAACGGAGCAGGGGCCCCTTCCCCGCCAGGAAAGGCCTAGGGCGGAGGAAGGGGCGCTGGAGCGCGGGGGTGGGGGGAGCGCGCCCGGCGCGGGTAGGGAGGGGCCGGCGGAGAAATAACGCCCAGGCTGGGTGGCCTCAGTGGCGCCCCCCCCCCATCCTGCCACGGGAGGCTCCCGCCCCGTCGGCGGGGGGTCTGGGGGACCACCTCACCAAACCCGCCCGGGGCTGGCAGGGGTGAGGGAACCCCGAAGATTCCCACCCGAGGGTGGCGATGGAGGGGCGTCGAGGGTGGAGGGTGGGTCCCGAGGCCAAGGGCGCAGGCCGTGGGGCGAGCGGAGTTGGCGGGCAAGGAGAAAGGGGCGCAGGTCTCCGTGGCCCGGGGGTCCTGCCGCGGTTTCCCGGGGAGGCGGGCGCGCTCTTACCCGAGAAAGTTTCGATGGCCTTCATCGCCCAGTGCTCGTCGGGGCAGTCCACGAAGGCGTAGCCGGACTTGACCAGGAACTGGCCGCTGTAGGAGATCTTGTGCTCCGCGAACACTTTCTCCAGGTCGGCGGGGGTCACGCTCTCGTTGAGGTTGCCGATGTACAGCTTGTTCATGGTGCCGGCTCCGGGCGGGACGCGGTCCCCAGCAAGGCCGAGCGGCGGGCGGGCGGGCGGGCGGCGAGCCTCCTAGGCCGAGCGGCGGGCGGGCGGGCGGCGGCCGGCGGCGGCGGCCGCAAACTTTCTTTGCACCCACCCCGCGGGGTGTGCGGAGCGCGGGGCGCGGAGGGCGGCCGGAGGGCGCGCAGAGGTCGCGGGGGGCGCCGAGAGGCTCGGGAGCGGGGCCCGCGGCGCGCTGGGAGGCGGACGGCGCGGCGACTCCTTCCCTGCGGTCCGAATCCCCTCCGAGCGGGCTGGTGTGTCACGTTTCTCCGCGGCCGCCCTGGCGCCGCCTCTAAATAAAATCGACTAGAAAAAAAAAAAAAAAATGGAGCGAGGAGGGAAAAAAAAAAAGAGGCGAAGCCACGTGGTGAAAGCCCCCACCCACCCGCAGGGGAAGACCCCCGACGCCTCTGGGCCCTTCCACCCGCCGGCCCCGTCCAGCCCACCAACCTCCCGCCCGGGGAGATCGGGGCGGCGGGAGGGGGCACCCCGCTCACCCCCAGGCCACGGGGCGGGTGGGGCAGCGTCCCCGAAGCTCCCCTCGCCCCCTCCTCCTGGGCAAGAATCTGGCCCCGAGGGAGGCGCCCCGCCCCCCCTCCCCCTCCCCGGGCCCTGGCTGGGGGAGGGCGGTCGGCCCAGCAGCGCCCACCTCTTTATATGTAAAATGTACGTTTATTTTTTATTCGGGGTGGGGGGTGGGGGCAGGCTGCCCACCCTACCTAGGGTGGCTGCTAGCGACTGACAGGCGGGGGACGGCGGAGACAAAGAAGCCGAGGACTCTGGGGTCTTCAGGAGGGGGTCGCGCGAGCTGGTGATTTAGAAAAGAAAGGCGCCTTTCCCGGGGTTTTTGGGTGGGAGGGGGGTCCTCGGCCTTCCTGGCCCCAGTCCTAGGAGACGCCCTCGCCTCCGGGAATCCGGGACCGAGGGGCCTGCGAGCGCGGGGCCAGCCGGCTGGGAACGGGGGGTCGCGGTTGGGAACGGGGGATCCTTAGGAAATCAGGTCTCGGGATTCCCACGGGAGAAGGGGTGGCTCACTCCCGGGGTTCGGCTGTGGAACGAGAAGGTCTTGGGGTCCTGGGAGAACGCGCGGCTCCGGCCCAAGATGACCCCACGGAAGAGGGAGGGGTGAAGAGGAGGACGGAGAGCGGGAGCCGGAGCCGACCCGGGCGCACCGCAGGGGGAGGTCTCGGGGAGGGAGTGACCGGGTGCCGAGCCGAATCGCCCCCCCTCCTCCCGCCCCGACGCGGGGACCGACAGGTGGAGTCCCCGCCGCCGGCTCCACCGGGGACAGCGACGGCCGCTTTCCCCGCTCGGAGTTGGGGTCGCGGAACTTTGTTTGGGGTGCAGGGCTGGGATCCGGGCGGGAAGGCGGGAGAGGGGCCGAGCTCGAAGCCCCGCCCCCGTCCCCAGGTCAGACCCGCGGGGGGAGGGGGTAATTTCCGCTCGGCGACGGGGAAGCAGGGGCGGGAGCTCGGAGGAGGGGGCGGCGGCCCGCCCCCCGCCCCCCGCCCGCTCCTTGGGAGGGGAAGCGGACCCGCCCTGGTCCCTTTCCTCGCCTTTGACCAACTCGTTCCGGATCCTCTGGCCCCGAATCCGAGGGACGGACCCGACTGGGCCAGGGGCGACACGTGGGCGGGCGCACCCCGTTTCGGCGTTGGGGGAGGGGGCAGTCGCCGCGCCTTTCGGAGTCTCGGAGACGCGGCGGAGAGCGGGACGCGCCCCCGGGATCCCGGGCCGGGAGTTGGCGGCGGCGGCGGGGGCTCGGGCGGCGCCGGGGGGTGGCGGAGCGCGGCTCGGGGGCCCTGCGGAGCCCCCTGACCGGGAAGCAGGGAGTGAACCCCCAGCGCTGCCAGCCGCCCCTGGAGCGGAGCGGAAGCCGGGGTTTTGCGGGAGGGACAGATGGTCCTGTCGGGGGCACGCGTGCGGTGCGGGCAGGTGAGGAAGGGGGTCAGTCTCCCTTTCCCGGTCCCCGACCCCATTGTCTCAGTCGCCTGCGGCCCAGGCCGACTCCGCAACACGTGTTGGCTGCACCGAGATGAATGCCTTGGGGTTTTTTCTGATTATTTTTTGTTTGCAGAGCCAGTGAGCTGACTCCGACTTGTGCGCACCGCGCTTCTGCCAGACGATTTTATCCCTTTCAAAGTCGGGACTTACAGACGCGCCGCACCTCGGTGCCCCCTCCGGGTTTTGCGCTGAAAATAAATGGGGCTCGGCGTGGGGGCGGGGAGGGCTTCCGACTCGATTTCTCTGTCTCCACCACCTTCAAAACCCACCGTCCAGATTCGCGTTTTGTTCAGGCTAGCCACGTGTTTGTCGCGTATTTGTCTTTGCGATTTTTTTTTTCTTTCCACGGGGCAACAAATTAAAACACTACCAGCTATTAGTCGCTGAGTGGGAAAAAGACTTCTATCCAAGGAGCTGGGCGACATGTGTATCCCACCCCCCACCCCCTCTCACCCTCCCCCTGTTTCTGACTATTTAACTCTTGACCATAAACATAATTTTAAAAACAACGAGCTGGAATCGGTGCCTGCCACATAGTAGGTATTCAATAAACATTTTTAATGAAAAACGAACTAATACAAACTGCAGAGCAAAGAGACTCCAAAGGATAAAGAGTCCAGGAGAAGAAAAAAAAATCATCTTGGCCAGAAGTTGTGGGTCTGCTGCCTGGGGACTTCGCCTGGTGTGTTGTGCGTGTACTTGTGAAAGGGCTACAGTAGTCTCAGAAAGGCCTTTCCCCCAATAGGACCCCTTCCAAGGGGGCTCCTGTTATATTGGGGAACAAGAAAGAGGGTACTAGGCAGGGCATTCCACTCCCAGAAAGTGCTATTTTCCTTCATTTAATTTAAATCTTAAGGCATTAATAGACGCACCTCTCAGGTTTTCTCCCTGGGGGGACATAGCCACTACTCAGCTTCTTTATTCCTAAAACCAAAGCAAGTTACACCCCACAAAAATCTCCCTCCAGACCTCAAAACGCCTGTAAAATGCAGTCCACCCTTTCCCATCCTAGCTTAAAAGGAAAACAAAAATTTTTAAAGTGATAATTCCATTCACTTTTAGGTGGTGGGTTTTTTTTTTTTTCCATTTGAAAAAATACATGTCTCAATGTTAGCTGAAATCAGTTTTTAAAATGACAGTAGAAAAGAAAATACGAGTTCTTAAAATTAAAATTTTACCAAGCATTGCTAAATTGAAACTGATTCATTTTTTTTTTAAAATCAGCTGTTTCACTGAATTCTAATCCTCCCACCCCACCCCCCTTCACCAGGATCTTCTGTGTATAGTGAGAGGCTGCAAGAACAGAGAGGAGACAGCTGGGGTTAGAGGCAGACCCTTTTTAGCCCCCAAATCAGTTTTGCCTCAGTGACCTGGCTATTTTAGGCTGGGGTTGGGGATATTGAGTGATGTTGATTGGTGCTTCATCTCTCCCCTCTGAGGGAGCCCAGCACTAAAATTAACCTGAGAGAAGGGTTATTTCTTGTCAAACTCACATTCCTAGGTGAGGGATAAAAATGGGCAGACTTGGGACTCCATAATTTATCATCCTCCCTTTCTTTGGCTTGATTTTAATATTAAAGACAACTATTTTTTTTTTCTACACAGCTTCTTTGGACAAGATTAATATGCAGTTCAGAGTTAAATTTAGTTTGTGAGAGTTAGCTGCAGGATAAATTATTTTCTTTAATAATAATTTATACAATTTAAGAGCATTCTTATCAATTTTTAAATCATGATTATATTTGTTCTCTTTCATTTTTCCTGGAGAAATGTTTGGAACACTTACCAGAATTCAATTTTCCTCTGAATTCAGAAACACTGAAACTTGACTCCATTTTAAAGATGGGATTCTGATCCATTTTCCTAGTGTGAACATAAATATTCATGCAGAGAGGAAAAAAATTAAGAGAATTAAACAACTCTTTAAACATTGGAAATATAAAGTGGAAAAAAAAAACAATTACACCATTGTCATGCAAAATTAATTTTGTTTCTAAAATGTATCTAAAATTTGTTCATTTGGACTAATTTTGTATTTTGTCATCTTATTTTTATATTTTAATTTTTCACTGGCTATTGTACCGTAAGCATTTTTCTCATGCTGCCTCAAAATTTTCATAATTATCATTTCCAGTGAACATGTAGCATTTAGCACAGTAGATGGAACTTAATCATTAATTGTTCTTTTTAGATATTTAAAGTTACATCAAAAATTCTTACTTTTGTAACTAGTGCTGAATAGATTTTGAGGAGCGTATAACTTTTCCTCTTATGTTAGCTTCTTTGGGTAAATCCCAAAGAATATATATTGCATTTCAAATCTAACATTTATCAATGACTTTCTGTTTTTAAAGGTTAGCCTGTTTTACAAAAGAAAGGACAAAAAAAGTGGAAAGCTGTTAGAAGGGAAAGACCTTAAAGGAGAATTTTTTTCTATTTATTTTCTAATGAATCAATCGATTTTGAAATGAAATTATGGTTTCTATAAAGTATAAAAAAGGAAAAAAATCACATTTCCTGACATGGTTGCTCTGACTTCAAAGTTTCTGGAGGAATTTGGTTTTTGTTTGCTTGGTTTCCATTTATTTTGTTGTTGTTTGCTTGTTGTTTTTTTTCATTGTTACTGCCTTGGGTTATTTTGTTTCTTCCTGCAACTTGAAGTTTTAGTGTGGTTCTTGTAAATGACTATAAACTTTGAAAAACTGTAAAATAGTCCCAGTTAAAAGTACATGCAGCATTTTCTCCTGTCAAATAAATAAGGATAATTATGTGCTTAAGATAACTCATAAAATATAAGAAAACTGTAAGCAGAAAAGGAAAATATCCTCCTTCAAAGTATCATTCAAGTGTTCAGTGTTGAAAATCTTAAAAAGAAATGAGTTTATTCCAGAAAAAAAAAAAAAAAACTCAAAGAGAAAAAAGAATTTTAAAAACAATCATTTGTTTTTCTA